TTATTATTGGTGGAAATTAACCCGAATTCCACAACAATTGGTATCGGAACTCTTGGTTTATTTTAGTATGCTCTGTGGTTGCAGCTTAGGCTGATATTCCACATCAGAAAAAATTTTCTTAGGGTAATTGACATTCCGCATTGACAGCTATAAATAGAATTTGTAGCAGAAATGGCAGACGACACAAAAACATCCGCAAGAAATGTTGTGACAAATGTTAGCTTTGATAGTACCGGTCATTTCAGTATGTGGCAAAGTGAGGTTCTAGATGTCCTATTTCAGCAGGGTCTAGACATTGCTATTGAAGGAGAGAAACTAGATGATGTTGAGGAGAAAAAAATGGAAGATGATCAATAGATTGGCATGTGGTACTATTCGATCGTGTCTTTCTAGAGAGCAGAAGTATGCATTTTCTAAGGAAACTTCTGCAAGTAAATTGTGGAAGGCACTGGAGGAGAAAATTTTGAAGAAAACGGTTAGAACAAGCTCTACATGAAAAATAGATTGTTCTGTTTCAACTATGTACCAGGTACCACTATGAATGATAACAATACAAGCTTTAATCAGCTAGTGACTGGTCTGATGAATATGGACAAGACTTTTGAAGACGAAAATCTGGCTTTGATGTTGATGGGATCATTTCCTGATGAGTTTGAGTATCTTGAAACTACTCTACTTCATGGGAAGGTTGATGTGTCTCTCAGTGAAGTAACTGCTGCCTTGTATAGTTATGAATTGAGAAAGAAATACAAACAAGAAAATACAAGTGTCGAAGCAGAAGCTCTTGTTGTTAGAGGCCGTTCGAAGAGTCAAAATAAAGGAAGGAGAGGGTGATCGAAGTCAAAGTCCAAATTGAGCAAAGTTGAATGTGCCTTTTGTCGAGAAAAAGGGCACTAGAAGAAATAATGTCTCAGACTAAAGAATAAAGGCAAACCTGAAAGGGGAAAGGCTGTCTCAGAATCAAATGCGGTCGAGTATGATGATACAGATTCAGATTTCGCATTCGCTGCTACGCCATCAACCAGTTGTTCCAGTTCATGGCTGTCAGATTCAACTTGTAGCCACCATATGACCCCCAATAGAGAATGATTCTTTGATTTTAAAGAACTAAAAGGTGGAATTGTCTACACAACAAATAATTCCCCTCTTGAAACACTTGGGATTGGTTCAATTCGCTTGAGGAATCAGGATTAATCAATCAGAACCTTAACAGGTGTCCATTATGTACCAGATTTAATGAGAAATCTCATCTCTGTGGGAACCTTAGAGTCAAAAGGTTTAGAAGTGAGGGCACTGGTGCATATATGAAGGGAATCCGGAAAGAACAACTTTCTGGGTAGTCATGTTGGGACAAAGTCCTTGACCATGAGTGTTGGCATATGCGCTTGGGGCATGTTGGTGAAAAATCCTTGAAATTGCTGATAGATCAAGGATTATTGAAGGGTGCTCGGACTTGTAAATTAGCTTTTTGTGAGCATTGCCTCAAAGGGAAGAAGACGAGGTTGAAATTTAGAACAACAATCCATGATACTAAAGGTATTTTGGATTATGTTCATTCAGATGTATGGAGGCCTTCCAAGACAACTTCATTGGGAGGAACACATTATTATGTAACCTTTGTTGATGATTTTTCCCAGAGAGTTTGGGTGTATACAATGAAGACAAAGGATGAGGTGCTAGGATTTTTTCCTTAAATGGAAAAAGATGGTGGAGACTCAAACAGGCAGAAAAATCAAACGTCTCCGTACAGACAATGGTGAAGAGTACAAAAATGATCAATTTCTGAAAGCCTGTGAAGAAGAAGGTATTGTCAGGCATTTCACTGTCAGATCTACACCACAACAGAATGGGGTAGCAGAGCGTATGAACCAGACATTTATGGAGAAGGTTCAGTGTATGTTGTCTAATTCTGGGTTAGGCAAAGAATTTTGTGCTGAGGCTTTGGTCTATGCTTGTCACCTTGTCAACCGCTTACCATCGACTGCTATTGGTGGTTAAACACCATTAGAGAAATGGTTTAGAGAACCTGCTACAGATTATGATTCTTTACATGTGTTTGGTTCCACTGCATACTACCATGTTAAGGAGTCAAAGCTGGATCCAAGAGCAAAGAAGGCGATCTTTATGGGGATCACCTCTAGTGTGAAAGGCTATCGTCTTTGGTATCCAGAATCAAAGAAAATAATCTTCAGCAGGGATGTTACATTTGATGAATCTACCATGTTGAGAAAGGTGACTTCAGAAAAATTGGAGCAGATATATGGAACTCCAAAACAGGTGGAGTTTGAAGGAAGCATAATTGACCCAGTTAGTAAAGAAACTGATGTTGACTCTCCTATGGTAGAAGAAGAGTCAGATGAAGAAGAGGTTTAGACCCAAGAACCTCCACAGCAACATGAATCAATTGCACTTAGAAAGGGAAAGAGGACCATTAGACAACCTGCTTGTTATACTGATATGGTCTCTTTTGCATTACCAATTGCAATTAATGACGTTCCTGCCACTTTTAATGAAACAGTCCAAAGTTCAGAACATAAAAAGTGGAGGATCGCCATGAATGAAGAAATGCAATCCCTTCAAAAGAATCAGACGTGGAAACTAGCTAGTCTTTCGAAGGGAAAGAAGGCAATTGGGTCCAAGTGGGTATATGCAAAGAAAGATGGATTTCCTGACAAGAATAACATCCGCTATAAAGTAAGATTGGTGGCTAAAGGCTACGCTCAAATGGAGGGAGTTGATTATAATGAAGTATTTTATCCAGTTGTAAAACATTCCTCCATCAGAATTTTGTTGGCTTTGGTAGCACATTTGGATTTGGAACTAGTTCAGATAGATGTAAAAACTACATTTTTACATGGAGACTTGGATAAGGAAATCTACATGACTCAGCCAGTTGGATTCAAAGTTGCTGAAAAAGAAGAGATGGTGTGCAAATTAGAAAAATCGTTGTACGGATTAAAGCAATCTCCAAGGCAGTGGTACAAGCGATTTGACAAGTTTATGATAGGGCAGAAGTACACAAAAAGCAAATATAATCATTGTGTGTATTTACGCAAGCTACAAGACGGATCCTATATATATCTTCTTCTTTATGTTGATGATATGTTGATAGCTTCCAGGAGTCAAACAGAAATTGCGAAACTAAAGACTTAATTGAACAAGGATTTGGAGATGAAGGATCTTGGTGAAGCGAAGAAGATTTTAGGCATGGAGATATCAAGGGATAAGAAATTGGGGAGACTTTGTTTGTCTCAAAAAGAATATCTGAGGAAGGTACTAAAACGTTTTGGCATGAATGAGAAGTCAAAACCAGTTAGTATACCTCTTGCTCCTCATTTCAAGCTCAGTGCATCCATGTCACCTAAGGATGATGCAGAACGGGAATACATGCCAAAGGTTTCGTATGCAAGTGCTGTTGGTAGCTTGATGTATGCAATGGTATGTACAAGATCCGATATTTCACAGGCAGTTGGGGTTGTGAGCAGGTATATGCATGATCCTGGAAAGGAGCATTGGCAAGCTGTGAAGTGGATTCTGCGGTATATTCTGAACACCGTAGATGTTGGTTTGGTCTTTCAGCAGGACAAACATGATGGTCAGTGTGTAGTTGGGTATTGTGATTCAGACTATGCAGGTGATTTGGACAAGCGTCGATCAACTACTGGTTGTGTGTTTACATTTGCAAAGGCACCAGTCAGTTGGAAGTCCACCTTACAGTCAACAGTGGCTTTGTCTACTATAGAGGCAGAGTATATGTCAGTTACAGAGGCTGTGAAGGAGGCAATTTGGCTACATGGGTTGCTTGGTGAATTGAGAATGGAACAGAAGCACATCAAAGTGCATTGTGACAGTCAGAGTGCTATTCATTTAGCAAAGAATCAAGTTTACCATGCAAGGACGAAGTACATCGATGTTCGATATCACTTTGTACGAGAGATTCTAGAAGAAGGTGGAGTCATAATCTAGAAGATTCGAACCACTGAGAATCATGCTGATATGTTGACAAAAGTGGTAATTGCGGTCAAGTTTAAACATTGTTTAGACTTGGTCAATATTGTTACAAATTGAAAGATGAATTTGCAGACACTACTGAAGATTGTATTTTTTAGAGATGTGTGTGGAATTTGCCAAGGTGGAGATTTGTTGTTTTTTTGGCAAAATCCCACATTGGTTGTGTATAAGGAGGAGGGAAAATTCTTTTGTTATAAATAGAGCCCTCATCCTCCTTATTTTAGCATCCCACAAATATAAGCCTTGTTCACTATTAAAAGCTATTTGTACTCTTTCTCTCTTTGTAATATTTCCTCTATTAGTGAAATATTATTTTAGTAGTGTTCGAGGAGGCAGGCATAATTTTGGGCTAACCTCGTTAAATTTTGGTGTTCTCTTTATGTCTATTTAATAGGTATTGTCGGGTATAGTTGTTGTTAATTATTGTCCTATTAAAATTACTTGTCTTGGTAGTTCTGTCTAAGGAAAGTAGATTTTAAGAGAGACCATTGTGACCCCTCCTCTTTCTTGGGAATCTACCTTGGGGTGATTTTTAGTGCAATCGTTTTCACACTAGTCACCTAGATAATAGTTTTCAAGGTGAATTTGTTATTATTGGTGAAAATTAACCCGAATTCCACAACACATATTTCCTCGTCTTTTTTTATTGGAAGTTTATTTTTATTAATGCATGGCAGCTTTTTTTTGTTGAAAGAATTCGATCAGTCATTTCCTTCGTGGGTTACGAATCTATACCATGGAAAGAGACATTGGAAAGCTTGGATTTGGTGTTTGTTCTTTGTTTGTACATTGTGAATATCTTCACATGAAAAAAGGTTTTTTTGTTCATTTAATTTGATTCCCATCAGGTTTCTTGAGGCTTCCAATCCAAGCTCAATGAGATGAATCAAAGAGGTATAATTTGTCCAAAATTTTCAAGAAAATGAAGTGATCTATCTCAACTTTATTACTTGACCTTAAACTGGACGAAGAACGAGTAAATTCTCGGATACGAAATTATTGGTTTCATTTTTTCTTGGAAAATAGCCCTCCGATCAATGGAATCAATGGCTTCCTCTTCCTTTTTACTAGTGAAGGGTGTCTCTCGAGTTTTTGCACAACTCGAGTGAAACAAGGTTGCTTTGCGAATGTCACGTATGTCTTCTTTTGAAACTCGGTTCCTTGTTCTTCATATCTAGCTGAGCCTGGGGCAATCTTGACATCTTCCATCTCGAATTCCATCATTAGTTTATCGATTTCTCGTTCTTTGATTTCCTCCGGTTCCCTCTTTTTTCTTTCAAGCTCATCTTTAGGAGCACACAGGCAATTCGCCATTAGCATACTCTCTTCCCTAGCCTTTTCAAGCTTATATTTTGTCTCTTCCAACTCAGCTGTAACAGTTACAAGCCTGGAAGGACCCTTTTCACCATGTATCTGTCACAAAATAAACACAGTAAACTAACAATTCCAGATCCATCCAGTTGATGAATATCTTCATGAAACTGAAGACAAAATAGATGCTTGCTTGCTTGATGAATAATCCCCCATTTCTAAAGCTTTAATGGAGGTATCTTCATCGAGAGTAAGAGATTTATTCCTTAAAAAAAGATGCTAAAGTAACCAACTTATTATTATATTATATTACTATTTTACTTTAAAAAAAAGCTGAAGAGAAATGAAGAGGTAATTACCTGGTCCTTGAGGTTGGTGGAATGAAGTTGAGCAGCTAAAATTGAGTGACCGAACAAGGCGACGGCTTCTTTAACTGAGTTGAATGGTGCAGTGGTATCGATTTCAGCCCTATCCATCATCACAAGTCCCCCTTCACAGTGCATGCTGTTGATGATATTGGTAGAGAAATGAAGATGGAAATAAGTAAAGATATTTGGGAAGGGAAGGGAGGTAGGTTGTTTGGCGTCCACTTCAGTGGAATGTGTTAATATTATATGGGCTTCGCCTGTTTTGTCTGGAGTAATAGAGGGACTCTTTAACTATTCCCAACAGATCAAAGTACTCCCATTATATTTCGCTACTTCAGTTCCAGGCCCCTCCTTACATTGCTTCATCGTACGTCAATGCCTAATTTTATAAGTTTATATTCACAACCATCGACCAAAGAATAATAAAATGTTTTTCTATAATATTCAACATAAGGACCAGAGAAAATGTTAAAAAAACATAATTAAATAAACTCGAATAAAAGATAGATACGAACAGATCTGACAGCATCGACAATCATAAAAGTGATCAAGTTACAGACCACCGATATACATCAAATTAAATCGAGCGACATGAGAAAACTATCCACTAACGCAATCCTTATCGATATTCAATCCAAGGGTCCAAAGTAAGGAAAATCAACATGATAACAAATAAGTGTCATCTTGATTACTCGTGGCAATATAAAATCTAACTATGAGAATAGATAAACAAAAATAACAACCAAACGACCGAAATATACCAAAAAGCAGGGAAAATGTGTCGTAAAGATATAATTATTAAAAAATAAAAAATAAGAAAAACAAAGATACAATATAATAAAATAAAAATAATAATAAATATCAATCGTCAATGATTAATACTAAAATCGGTGCCATTATCGATCTCAAAGATAAAAAAAACTAACGGCGACATAATGAAAAAGGAAAATAAGGGTTGAAAACCTTAAACTTTCATTTGGTATAAGTTTAATTAAAGGATAAACTACACATTTAGTATATAAACTATTAGTTTTGAACTATTTTAGTACCCAAACTTTAATTTTTTTTAAAAATATACCTAACGTTTAGTTTTCATTTTATTTTAGTATCCCGCCGTTAAAATCTTAATGTGTTTAGTACCTAAACTATCAATTTTAGTTTGTTTTAGTACCTAATGTTTTGATCTTTTCAAAACTTAACGTTAAATTTTGAATGACGTACTAAAATGAAACAAAAACTAAAGCTTTTAACGGTAGTGTACTAAGATGAAACAAAAATAAAAACTAAAAGCTCTGTGACATAATTTAAAACCAAAATAATAAAACTCTGATTTATAAATCTGAATGCAATAATAAGGGTCCTATGAATACATATTCCCTCTAAAGTTACAGTACAATATTCTAAAGGAGATACTGGAAGTCATACTATGACGGTGCTTCATGAATGGCATAAAGTACTAACCTACAAATGGAAAACATCAAAACACTGATGTAACATCCCAAAATTCGGGTAAGTGACTAAAAGGAGAATTTTTGGAATTTGAGGATCAATTTAAGGAATTTGATAACTTCAAGAATTTAAATAGGACTATTTCAATATTGGATTAAATCATAATTATGGAATAAGTAAAGGGCATTATGGTAATTAGTTTAAAAAGATATTTTCTTTTCCTTATTAAGAATGAAACACGTGGAATATGAAGAGTGATATAGAACTCTTCTTTTCTTTCTTCATTTCTTCTTCTCGTGGGTTCAAGCTCAAACCTCAAAGGTGAGTTTTAATTTTATGATTAATTCTTGAATGTTTAAGTTGGGTTTTATTTCATGAGTGTTATATAAGCTTAAGGAAAGCTTATATAAGTTTGAAACACCAAAAGGAGAGAATTAGAAAGGAAATTTGATTAAGGGTTGAGAAATGAATTCTTGATATAAAGAGGGTTTTGAAGTTTTAAAGATGGATTTGACTTGTTAATGGGTTAATTAAGAAGTTAAAGGTGATAGAATTGAATTTAGAACACATGGAAACTTTAATGAAATTCTTTGATTCAAGAATTATGGTGGATTATGGGAGATGGTAAAGTTTTATAGTGTTATAAGAAGGTTGATACATGTATAGATAAGTTTTAAGGCATAAGGAGGGGTAATAAGTAGAATTTGAGGTCAAAGTAAGAATTTTCGGGCTCAAAATGTAATTTCTGGGTTGTACTGGATTGATGCAACTATATATGCATATCTAAGGGACCAAAGGTAATACAACACTAACATCGCTAACCCACTCCTTATGAGTGTTCGGGCCATGTGCCCTAGTTAGCCCCTGAAGTGCCTCGCGCAATAACAATGCCCCACTAGGGCAACTAAGGTAACCTAATTACACACCAGTGTAATTGGACAAACTAAAGTAAGGTCAACCCCTCACTAGCTGTCATCTTGCTCGTTTTCTCATTTAACACATTATGTGAAAGTTTATTAGTCTATTACTTCTGTTGGTTTATCAAGTTGCTATATTTTGATCATTTGTTACTTAAGGCATTTTAGTCATTTATGTCTCTAGAGAAGTCTCAATGCGTTTCGTGATTTTATAATGATTTCTATGCTTTTTGTTCATTGTTTGTAACACTAGCTAGCCCGATATCTGACTTGGGTTCATTACTGGGTAGTGACACTCTAATCGATCTTACTATGACTTCCCTCAATTCACCCTCGAATTGAAGGGACAATTGTATGTTCACCATTCCCTAACATTCATGTCGTATACAATCTCATTATTTTATAATCTGATTAATTCGTCATACCTCTTGTTGGTACATCCTCTACAACGATCATTCTTTCTTAAATACTTGATACGTGCTCGACTGAATATACTTGGACGTATTCCACATACTATGGTTACTTCGGTTGTAACCCACTCCTACGAGTATTTTTAGATCCCCTTGGACATTTGCGTCCCTCAAGGACTAAGTTCTACCATCAAGGATCATCTTTAGCTCTTACGAACCTTAAGGAGGTCAAATCTAATAATCCAAAATGAGTATTATCAATACTTCACTTGCAGTATCGATACCCTATGGTCAAGTATCGATACCCCTATAAGTATCAGTATAAAAAATGGCTTCAATTGCTGAAAATGTGACCCAATATCGATACTCTATACCATGAGCATCAATATTGTAGGGTCAATATCGATACTCTCCCTTGCAGTATCGATCCTATCTACTTGAAATCCTTAATTTTTGTCTCAATTCATCCAGTATCAATAATGTTCATCCAATATTGATACTCGAACCCAGAAATATCTTATTTAAGCTCAGGAAACACCCAAAAATAATCTCAAATGTCTTAGTTTGGTTCCTAATCATGTGCTAAAGCTTTAAGAAGTTACTTAAGGTCTTAAAGTGTCATAAAAACACATGTTTTACAACAAATTCGTCATCTATGACATGAATCAAGTATGAACCCTAAATGCTCAAATACAAAAATCTTAACAATCATCATGCTTATGAAAACCTTAATGCTCCAAAGGATTAGAAATACACTACATTGATGTTTAAATCCCGAAATAAAACTCCTTGCTTAACCTCACTCATTTCCTTTGTGATTTGGATGAAAACCCCCACTTTTTATTTAGCTTTGTGCTACGGAACTTGGAGAGGAAAACAGAAGAAGGTAAATGAGAAGGAATAAAGAAATGAAGAGAGAAATCAAATGAAAGCGATAAAAATCTTTCATCTTTTTAAAAAGGTGAAATTGCACATTTAATCCTTCCTCATCTTCTTACTATTCAAAAATATCCTTTATGGATAATTAGGCCTAATTCCAACCTAATTAAGCCCAACAACTTAAATTATGAAATCTACGAGGTCCACTAGCCTCTCGAGTAAACCTGAAATTACTAGCCTGGAATTTGAGGTGTTACAACATATATACTAGTTTTTTTCTCATGCGGAAGGATATCATACTATATATTTTGAATAAATAAAGTGATAATAAAATTATTAAATATTAATTATATTTGTTGCGTATTGACAATATTTAAAAGAGTTTTTTTATATGAAATTTGTTTTATGCAGACATTGTATATTCATATAAGCCCAAGCTTTGGGTTAAAGAACCCAAATGACAGCCCAAAAAGCGAAACGGTATTTGTACGTCATATCATCAACCCTATCAATTCCCTTTATAATACGCCAAAATCAGACCGTTGAACTCCCTTTTTCAAATTGCAACGATTTGAATTTTCTCTCAATTTCAGATCAAAAGGAAAAAAAAAAGATCTCTTCTTCCTGTCATCGTAATTCAACTATCAAGAAGGCCACAAATGGGAGCGAAAACGCGGTCTCAACACTCATCAGAGCGTCAAAAGTGGAATGAAGTCTTTGAGGGTTTAGTTAAGATGCTTAAAACCCAGCAACAACAGCTTGAAACATTGGCTAAAGAAAGAATTATTCTCGAAGATCGGATTAAGATGCAATATGAACGGTGGGTCTCTGATGTTCGCCTTTATGAAGATCACATTTCTCAGGTATGACTTCTCAATTTAGGGTTCTGACTTTTTTTGGGCGAGTATTTTTTTTCTTCACTTAATTTGAGGTGTAATATATGGGGTTTTGGTTATATTTTTTATGTTTAGATGAAAAGTGAGTTGCAATCGGAAGAGATGGCTCGTGTGCTTGAGGCTACAAAAGCCGATATGTTGATAGGACTGAAGCACAGAGAAGCTTTTCTTTGCAAAATGAAATTAGGTATGTGTTTTTCCTTTATATATATATATATATATAGTGATTACCGTGATGAATGGTGGCCGTGCAATTTGTATGTGAAATTTTGTGTTGGGTTGAATTCATGTTTTGAAGAGTGAACTGATCAGATTTTTTTTGTAATATTGATTTGGTCTGATGTTTAGATTTTCTCAATTGGCTTATTACAGAGGAAACAGAAGATGAATTGATTGATTTCAGAGTCGGGTTTAACATCCTCAGTAAAACTTCAAAAGTATGTTACCTTGATTTCTCTCTTTTTCATAATTTCATACATTGTACAAATTTCTAAACTTTTAGTCATCTCATTATATTCAGGATATTCAAACCAGAAAAGGAACGGCGGGAGGCAAGCATAGTGGTTCGAAGTCTGTTACTTTCAAGACATTGGAAGATGCTGGAAGAAGCCTAAAGCTTATTGACAAAACTCGTGTTTCAGAAAAGAGTTCTCAAGCCATTGCACTCATGGCCAAGAACAACTTTGCGTGGAATCAGCTTAATGTTCTGGAAAGTCAGTACAAGAATAAATTAAATAACAAGCAGTTTGAACTTGAAAAGTCTAACAAGAGAATTGAGACACTGATTTCCTATATGGAGGAGCTGAGTTCATCTAATGCTGAAAAGGATGAAATAATTGAGCGGTTAAAAGCTGAATTGTCTCGGAAGGAGGCTGGTGCAACTAGATTCCAAGAAGTTGCTAAAATTTCTAGGGAGGCCGAAACGTCTAGGAAGTCCACAAGTGCTTCTTGTACACCTGTAATAAAACGTTGCGCAGCAGGTGGAAGAACTTCCGTTCTCGGGGGTAAGAATGGCAGCAGGGATAGATGCAACATTGTTCTGCAGAAAGAAAACACCGCCCCTAATGTCCCTGATCATAAGGACAATGAAAAGGTACATTTGCTTATCAATCTATTTTGCCAAAAAGAACGTGAAGGCTACTATGATGTCAAATAGCATCTACGAATACTTTGGTTTGTGTGAAAGTTCCTTTGTCTGACCATATGTTGAATTCTTATGGTTGTTTTTAGGGAAGCAGAAGCTCGAAGAGAAAAAAAGATGATGATGCTATACCCCTTTCTGAAACTCCAAAATTGTTCACTTCTACATTCAAAGTTCCCAGATTGAAAGCCTCCTGTCCCAACACAAGATGATGACCTGCGCCATTTTCTTGGCTTCGGAGCTTGTACTTCTATGTATTTTTAGTTTATTAAGCTGTAATCTTGGCAGTTTAACCGATGTGTATTAGTTACATTCCCTGGATCAAGTGGTTTGTGTATTTTTATGAACAGAAAGAATCGTGTTTGTATGTCTAAATATAATGATGATTCGTTCATCTAATAATATTATGATGATTTTGCAACTGAAAAGTGAATATTTTGTTAGAAAGAATAAAACTTGACCTCATCCATGCCATCAACATGGCTTTTGTATATGACAAGGAGTTTGAACTACTAATAAGCCATAACCAAAGTACCAAACTTTATAAATTAACCAGGAACTCTCACACACACCTTCAACTTCAATTCTTCATCTAGAGAAAAACATAACTCATGTTCCTTTTGAACTCATTCCCTGTAAGGCTGCAAACATATATGGAGAAAACAAATTTTATTCTTACTATATAATTTGTTGTTTAAATGCGAAAGAGAGAAATAAAAGAAAGGGTAAATTATACTGGAGGTTGTTATGACCCTGCGAGAGAAGAAGAGTAATCGAAGAAAATAGAGGAAATGGAGATCAAACAAGAGAAGAAAGGGATTTCAAGAAAACTGAGATTCATTCATTTCAAGCGTAAGGAAAATGCCTCAGCAGTACTGAATCCAACAGTTCTGCCAGCTGTTTGTCCTGGTTATAACAAATTCTAACAGTCTTGTATGGTGTTATCTATTTCCTTTGGGCTGGAGGATTGCAGGTCAGGTCTTGCTCCATAGGTAATGGACTTCCCTTTTGTATCTATTGTTTTAATAATCACTTGTTTCCCACGTGCACTCTCCCTATCTTCTAATCCCCAATTTTCCCAATTGATTTACTCACAATCCCTAACCCTTCCTTAGTAATTCTCAAATACCTTTCTTTGAGTCTAACTTCTTCTTTTCTGCCTTCTCTCTCGTGCATGACATTACCCCCTCCACGAGTAGATCCTTGTCCCCAAGGATCGAAACTTGGAAACCGAGGTCTGAGAATAGTATGAGCTTCCCAAGTATCATGATTTGAGTTCAAGTTCATCCATCGTACAAGTAAATTCTGCCAGTAAGGTTGCAATCTTAGGTATACTTATTCTCTAATTTGAAACTGCCGTTCACTTCGATTTTTATCAGCATTTTGTTTAATTCTTTTCTGCAACATATTTGGGACCTTATGCACTGTGAATTCTGAATACCATAGCAGAGTAGGTGGTTTATCATAATTCACATTCACTTCATACAATACCTCATCATTGTTTTGTGAAACTTTGCTCTTCCTTATATCTTTTGGCCTCTTATTTCTCTGTTTCAAGGTAACAAGTTGCCCAACTTAAAGACCATCAGAATGAAGAGGTAGAAATCCAATAGCTAGGCATGGGTCGTGGATTGGCAGCTGTAAGATTAGAGCACTCCAAAAGATTAAATTCTGACTATTATTGAAACTGGAACAATAATCTTTCAAAGCTTTGTAGTTCACCAAGTTTCCATTGTGACCAACCTCAATAGACCCAACCTTATACCCCACATCTTTCTTATATTAGCCCCAAACCACTTGTTGGGTTTCAACTTTTGGAATCACTTCAACAACATTTAGTACATCACCTTCTCTTTCCTTTCCGATAAGAGCAAACATCTCTACTATTTGAAGTTTAAGGAAAAAAGATTTAATTGGTTCAGACAATCTATGTTCTCCAACAACTGAATCTGATCGAACCGATGTGTACCCAAATAACAAACGACTGTTATAATCTGCATCAGTAACCTCAGAAGTTTTAGCATTAACCACATTGATGAGAATGATTGTTCTGTCAATAATTTCTCTATACCAACTAAAGAGAGTTGATCATTCATAGCCACTAGAATATTCTTCCTCCATAGAGTATATCCTTTAATCCATAATAGTCCAACGTAATACACCCTCATATTTCATTATATGAGTAAACATAATTTTCTTATCTGCCACCAACCCACTTAACATGGTATTTGCACTATACCGTGTATATTTTCCAACACTACCAATTCCCCTCTCGTTCAGATGATCCTTGTAAGATGTTGGCTGCCAACATGGAGCAAGTAATATTGTAAAATTACAACTTGTCATGGCATTCACCTTTATATTTGCACCAGTAAACATTTGATTGGTCTCACTGCCATGAAATGTTACATAGAGTTCATCAATTAATAGCTCATTCTGTAATGTATCGTGAGTGAGATTAGGTGCCTTTGTGAGCTTCAATACTTGCTCATTGTTCCTAAATCCAAACATCTTATCCCAATGATCTACCACCATCGTGGGGTGTTGAGTTCTGCTACCCTGTAAAGTAATATAACCTCTCAAGCAAGCAAGGTCATTAGGTCTCATATTTTTGTCAGATAAACTTCTACCAGAAAAACCCAAACAGTAAATTCTCATTCTTCTAAAATTATAGGCAGCAACATACTTATATCCACCTAAATCAATTACCACGATCTGTTCATGCCCAACAGACATATAAATAACAAGAAAACCTTTTCTCTTTAATGTTCGGATTATGCATGGATGAAATTTAATTTGTTGTTCCCCATGACCTTTAGCACAACTTAGTTTCTTCCTAGTCCCATTGACTTTAAAGCTGCACCATACATGGAAACAATCTATGCCAAAACAGAGACTACACAGTGCATTCATGGAGTCATAAAATAATTTTAGGAGACCACTGAAAATACTCGATATACCCAACTTCAATATAATATAAAGCATAAGGTGCAACCTTTGATTCACACTCCAATTCTTAACAAAATAAATTATACTCAGTCCCATCTACAAAAGTCTAAACACATAAGGATCAAGGGTTGAAATATGTTCATTGGCATTCATAAACATCATGAAATAAATTTCTCTAAGCATGTATTGAACTAGAGAATTTAGCTTATTTGAGTTACCAGTTGTTTGACACTGTAGAAAATGAACCACATTTATCTTTAAAGGAGAATCAACTAATTGTTTTTGTGATTTTATAACCATTTGAATCTTGCCCTCCAAGAGTCCGGATAAATCCACGACAAATAGTTGAAAGGTAGAAACTTGAATCGACATAGGCAATTCTTGATTTTCTTGCGAAATCAGTTTGGTATATCCAACCAGACTGACGTTCTGCTGCAGTCGTGAATTAGCTTTCATGGTGCTGGTGATAGATGGAAATACAACACTAGCTGCACTTACTGACATTTTATCGAACATTGGAGAAACATCATATGTGCATTCTATTGCCACCGATAACATCCTTTTAGGAGTGAGGAAAATGGGTTTAGACTCACCCAGTGAAAGTTGACCCATTCCTTTCTCCCCATGAATTTTTGTTCTTGTAGTTGAGTAAATCAGTCCCCGTTAATTTTCTTTTGCTCACTCTTTTTATCATTCTTTTTATTATTGCAGGAGTGATGGCTCTGGATACCAATTGTTATGACCCTGCGAGAGAAGAAGAGTAATCGAAGAAAATAGAGGAAATGGAGATCAAAGAAGAGAAGAAAGTGATTTCAAGAAAACTGAGATTCATTCATTTCAAGCGTAAGGAAAATGCCACAATAGTAGAGGGTTTTATTTGTTTACAATAGTAATGAATCCAACAGTTCTGCCAGCTGGTTGTCCTGGTTATAACAAATTCTAACAGTCTTGTATGGTTTCATTTATTTCCTTTGGGCTGGAGGATTGCAGGTCGGGTCTTGCTGCATAGGTAATGGACTTCCCTTTTGTATCTATTGTTTTAATAATCACTTGCTTCCCACGTGCACTCTCCCTGTCTTTCAATCCCCAAATTTCCCAATTGATTTTCTCATAATCCCTAACCCTTCCTTAGTAATTCCCAAATACCTTTCTTCGAGTCTAACTTCTTCTTCTCTGCCTTGTCTCTCGTGCATGATAGAGACCACTTAACTATAGTCCCTTTTCATTTTGACCACCATTTTTGAATTTTTACCAATCGGGTCACCCAATTATTTAAATACATTCAATCAAGCCACAATGTAATGATGATATGACAGTTAATTAAATTAGTATAATTATATATTTAATCCTCAATATTTATACATTATATTAATTTAATCCTAATTTAATTTAATTCAATAAATTTAATCATCTAATCATAAGAATTTTTTTTATAATTTAAATTTATTTATTATAATATTCTTTTTGTCCAATCAGATGTGCAATTTCCTAAAAAGTGTAGAGGGAGGGAAACATAGTTGTGTCCAACTAGCTGGAGCCCGGGGAAGCTAAGCAAACAATGTCACTGAGCCAAGGCAATTTTCCCAAAAAATCACCCTATACCCTTTTTTTTCCCTGTCAGACACCGTTCAGACTATATTTCTCGATTTAACACCCTTTGCAGAAAGGTGCACCCCCTACAGCACGCTTTACGTTGATCTGACGCCATGTGGGGTAAGGCGCGCCCCCTGAAACGCACCTTATGTTGAGTTGGATACATGTGGCTAAAGCGTGGCCCTTGGGGCGCGCCTTACGCCACGTATGGCTATAGCGCGGTGCAGGGATTGTGTTTTTTCCTTTAATTCTGACACGCGTTAGAAAGGCGCGCCCCCTGTAGAGTGCCTTAGCTTTAATTACCTAACTACCCTGACCGTTCACACCCCATCCCCTCCCTATAAATACCTTCATTTTCAATTACTTTCATCACACCAAATCCTCTCAACTTCTCTCAAATACTCTTATATTCTCTTATAACTGTTTAAGGTATATTTTATTATATTTAGTATTTTGTTAGTAATTTATTTAACTATTTAAATTTTTTAATATTTTATTTAATTAATTGTTTTGCAGATAAAATGGAAGGTGATCTACTTCGCTTAGATGGAAATCATATATCTCGACATTTTGCTGATACGGTAACATTTTAACGTTCTAATTTAATTTAAATTATTAGTAATAATTTATTTATTTATTTAATGCATGATTATTAGTTTAAAAATTAATTTTTGTAATTATTTACATTTTAGGAGATCGTATATTAGATCCTTTTATTAGGAACCTTAAGTTAGCGATACCTACCCGTGTCTGGCCGTATTTAGTATAGGTTGGAT